CATCAGCAATATCTTTCTAGTAGAAAAGAAGGGTAGTCAGATGCACCCTGTCATCAATCTGTGCCTACTAAATTCCAGGGTACACTACCGCCATTTCAAGATGGAAGGCATTCACCTCCTCAAGGATCTGCTCCTGCACATAGATTGGTTGGTAAAACTGAATTTAAAGGACGTGTACCTGATGGTGCCAGTGAACGAGGTTTCGATGGATCTTCCTCGTTTCTGTGGGAGGAATTGCATATGGTGCTTCACCTGTCTTCCATTTGGTCTCTTTGGCGCGTTGGTGCTTCACCAAGCTGCTACGTCCAACGATGGCCTGGCTGCGCACGTGCCTTATCATGTACCTTGACGACATTCTGCTTATGGCCTAGGACCGCTCCGTCCTCCTACGACATCTGCAGTGGATGGTGCATCACTGTTCTTGGCTGGGTTTCCTCATAATTTTCCAGACGCATGGAGTTTTGGGTTTCCTCGGATTTGGAAGAGGATTTGCTGGGCCTGCCTTTGTCCAAGATTCAGACGCTCCGCAAGGAAGTTTGCCGGGCTTTGCTCCAGCCGCATTATCACATTGTGTCACTTGGCGAAGCTCATTGGACTATTGGCATCTTTGATCCAAGCGGTATTTCCAGCCCCGCTCCATTATCGGGCTTTTCAACGGTTGAAGATCGTACATCTCCACGAGGGCGCGTCCTATGCGGATCTGGTCTCCCTGGACATGGATGCGAAAGACAAATTGCGTTGGTGGATCCGCGACTTATGTGCGTAGAATGGCAGGGCCATATTCGGATCTCAGCCGGAGTTCACCATAGACTCTGACACGAGTCTCCATGGCTAGGGGGACCAACTGTGAGGATGTGTTGACGGGAGGTCGCTGGTGGGACCCTTTATGATTCAGAGTTTTGCGAAGGGGACTGCCAATGCCTGTATTCGCCTGCATATGGACAATGTATGTCAACCACATGGGCAGAACTCAGTCCACAATTCTGGCTCATTTGGTGATGGATATCTGGGAGTTTTGTCTGGCGTGGAACTTGGTGGTCCAGGCGGAGTATCTACCGGGCCTGCACAACGTTCAGGCAGACTAGAGTTCAATTATCTATCTGACAGCAGCGATTGGAAATTGGATGTAGTGCTTTTTGCCATCTCGTCCTTTTGGGGACCTTTTGCGATCGACCTATTTGCCTTATGGCTCAACGCCCAATTACCTTGTTTCTTCAGCTGGCATCCAGACCCGACTGCATAGGCCATGAACGCTTTCCTGCAAGGGTCTCTTCTCTACGCCTTTCCTCCGTTTGCCATGGTTCCCCGAGTTCTCCTACATGTTCCCTGCCAAGGGGCCAAAGTGATCCTCTTAACCCCATTTTGGGGGACCCAGTCGTGTTTCCCACAGCTTCTGGAGATGGTGGTGTATTTTCCCAGGCTATTGCCGGCCCGTCCGGATCTACTTTGGGACCCAATCCGAGCATTTCCAACCACTCGTCTTAGACAGATCCCTACTTCTGATGGCTTGGCGGATTTTGGGGGCCCCTGGCAGGTCCTTGGAGTTTTGGTTGCAACTCGACGTCTCCTGGAGGATGCATGGGCTCCTGCAACTCAACAATCATATGGGTCAGCTTGGAGAGCTTGGGCTGGCTGGTGCCTGGCTAGGGACGTGGATCCAGTTTCAGCCCCTGTGACAGAGATTCTATAGTTTCTCATGTCTTTTTGAAGCTGGCCGGCCTTACCGGATAATTCATTTGTATAGATCAGCCATTTCTTTGAGGACTGTCCAGCGGGGCAATACCACTTAGTGTGCCACCTACTGCATGGCTCCCATCTCTCTCGTCTGCCCAGACCATGGTATTCCTTAACTTGGGATGTTTCTGTTTTATCGCCGTTTGGTTCGTGGCCTTCTAATGCAGATCTTTCCTTACGCATATTGTCACTCTTTTCTGCGTCATCTCTTGCAAGAGAGTATCGGATGTAAGTGCCTTGGATTTCGACGCACGTTCCTTCACTCCCGAGGGGGTGACTTTATATATCCAGGTGCACTAAGACTTTGATTAGGTCGGCGTCATATCCGGCTTTTCTCTCAGCACTGGCGTGGGGTCCGGTGGCCTGTTTATGCGAGTATGAGGTTCGAACTGGACCACTTCGTACGTCATCGACACCTCATCTCTTCCTCTCCCTTCGTCTTCCCCAGTGACAAGTACCACATCGGCTCGTTGGTTAAAACGGGTGTTACACATCAGTGTTTGGCACCCATTCGGTCAGGGGTGCGTCTGCTTCTTCGACGATGGCATCTGGCATACAGTCGGAGGATCTGATGAGGACAGCAGATTGGTCACGGGAATCTACTTACGGCAAATTTTATTTTTGACCGTTTTTTTCTGCGGTTGTCAGACAGCTTTGAACTTGCAATATGAGCCTCCGTGTCTTGTAATAAAATTACATGATTTTGCTATTACATGACAAAAGTCATAATTTTATTAAAAATACAGAGTCAAGTATTGTCCCATCCTGTATTTGTTTATCTTCTATGTTTCTAGATTTGTTTGCATTTCTCCCCCTGTTCTGTTCGTTTTTTTTGTAGGGGTGTGGTGTTATGGTAAGTGGGATGTTATGCACTGAACATTGGTTGACTGTACAATACAGTCAACCAATGTTCAGTGCATAACATCCCACTTACCATAACACCGCTCATGAGGTAAAATGCTGTTTTCATTATTGGTTTTGTAACTGGGGTCAAGTACCGAAGTAAAAGTGTGGCTCCTGTTTCGGAGTCGTTCCATGGATTTTTGGTTGGCACTATTCAGTTGCTGTTGTGGAACTGCTCCTGCTTGCTGGACTGTTGCCTGGTTTAACTCTTTCTGGATTTAGTTGCAATGTTCTAATGCTGTTAGACTTATTCTCCTGTTTCTGTTTTCTGGTTGTTATATTAGTTTTGCATCTTCAAAGAAAGAGGAAGATCTAGGGGAGGTGCTTACTATTATACTGGGACTTGGTCTGAGAGTGGCTTATGTTACCATGTTTTTCTATTCTTTGCTGCTATTGGTGAACAGCAGGGCCGTCTTTAATAACGAATGGACCCTGGGCAAGTGTTTGCTTGGGCCCCCTGTGCCCTGCCGCTCTCGCCCCTCACTCCCTGGTATGCAATCACGGCATCCATCCCAACGCAGTGGCGGTACTAAAGTAGAATGAATTTTATTGGGACCCCCAATTGCAAGGTTGGACTAAAGGTAGAACCCCATCTGTCGTGCAACTCCAACAATGCTTTGACAGCTGGGACTCTACCAATTTCCCATGCTTGCAGGGTTGTATTTAGCACTGAGCCATGTTAGTATGTTTGAATGTAAGCATGTGTTTGTATGGAGTATGTTTGTGTGAATGTGTTTGTATGTGGTACTGGAGTTTGAATGCAAGTGTGCATTTATGTGTAGTGTTTGTTTTTGAATGTAGGAGTGTGCTTGTATGTAGTGTTGACGTTTCAATGCAGGAGTGTGTTTTATATGTAGTGTTGAAGTTTGAATGGAGGGGTGTATTTGTATTTAAAGTTGCGGCTCAGATGCACAGGTACACACTCTGACGCACAAGCAGATACACAGATACATACACTGACTACATACAGATAAACATGCACATACACTGACAGACACACTGACACAGGTACATTTATTGACACACACACAGACACATACACTGGTAGACGTACTGACAGACATACTGACACAGGCACATATACAGACATACTGACACACAGACACATATACCGACATACTGACACACACACACAGACACATACACTGATCAACATACTGACACACATACACTGACAGAAATACTGACACCCACATACACTGAGAAATACTGACACACACACAGGCACATACACTGACACACACAGACTGATATACTGACACACACACACACAGACATACTGGCACACAGACAGATATACTGACACATGCATACACATGCACTAACAGACATACTGACGCACTGACAGACATACTGACACATACACATACTGACACACACAGATATACACACACATATATACTGACACACAGACAGACATACTGACACACACACACACTAACACACACATACATACACTAACACACACACATACACAACACACACACATACATACACCAACACACACACATACATACACACACACTAACACACAAACACTAACACACACAACACACTAACACACACACTAACACACAAACACACACACATTTTGCATGTAATCCCCCAGCCTCCTTACCTTTTGGAGTGCTGGGATTCCCTGGGGTCCAGTGGGCGCTGATTGGGCGGGTGGCGGTCGGGCAGGAAGGCTCGAGGGAGCACTCACTGCTTCCTCTTCAGCTCCCTCGCCAAGGGATGCCGGCGCCGAAGATGACGTCATCTTCCGGCTCCGGCATCAGTGCGGTGCGCGAGGGAGCTGAAGAGGAAGCAGTGAGTGCTCCCTCGGGCGCACGCCTTCCTGCCCGACCGGCCACCCGCCCGCCGGGGTCAGCGGGGCCCACGGGGCAGGTGCCTCGGGCCCTCCAAGAGAAACTGGGCCCGAGGCAGCTGCCCCGTTTGCCCCGCGTTAAAGACGGCCCTGGTGAACAGTAAAGAAAGTGATATGCAATACTTGCCACTGTGTCTTTAAAACAAATCATGACTTTATGCATGTTAATGGTGCATTGTGTATAAAGAAAAAGCACACTGGTGTACATGATTGCTCAGTTGCATAAAAACACTGAAGGCCCTCTGTCTGTTTTATCTTGGAGTTCATTAAAAATCATATCTTTTTTTTCTCTTTTCTTTTCTAAAATGCTTTTAAATAGTCCTATAAACTTCCTTTTTTTAGTTGTAGGTCTAGATTTTGTCTAGCATAATACAATACTTTGCACTACCAATTCATTTATAATAATCTAAAAAGTTAAAATAGATCTCTGCTGATTATTTTAGTATTACCTCCTGGTTCATAGCTGTAGCTTTTAGTCTTAACTGAGAGGAACTTGATTGTTAACTTGAGAAGATCGGGGTGCGAGGCCGGATCGCCATGCTGGCTGGTCGCATGTCAGAACAGCTCCTGACAGTTCTGGCCTTTAATCAACGATTAATCGGAATAAAATCTCAACCAGGGCAAACAAATACCGATTGTAACAACAGTGCTTACCGGAGCTGCAAATGTGCCCTAAGACAGGTGCTATGAAACACCAGAAGAAGAATTGCAGACATAAGGGCTACTCGGGCTGAGAGTGCAGTGGACGTCCACCGCTCTGCTCTTGTGCCTGATCGCATCGGCTCCTAGAACACATCCTCTCTGGTCCCGTTTCCTCCCCCCCTTTGGACGGATGGGGGTTATCCGGGTCCCCACTGGAAGGCTCTGAAGCAAGGATAAGCGAGGCTTACAGAAAGTGCTCCAGTGCTGTGATTCCAGGATGGCCCCTGCAAAGGCCCCTGTGGGATCGGATCCCTCTATCAGCATGTAGAATGGCTTCTTCGAGCAACTCCTGAGCTCTGTCCAGGCCCAAGCTGGCCCAACATTCTGCTTCTGCAAGGAAGGCTTTTTGCCCCACCACAAAGCACAGTCACCATCTGCGGCTGACTCCCACATTCACTCACCTAAGCCTCGAGCCTGGTGGAGAAGACCTCCTGATTTCAGTCCAACACCCTGGAGAGTGCTCTGCTGTTGCTGGGAACACTATGGGGGCCTCGCCAGGGACACTGATCACGGCTCATCGGAGGACTGGATCCGAGGGCATTAGATAACAGATCGAGTGAAGCTTGGGGCTGGTGGCGCAGATCCTGTTGAACTTGTATGTGTGCTGGGACTCTCACCCAAATCTTAATAACCGGGGTCGGAGAGGGTTGCGGGGGGGGCGGTCTCTTACGGGGAAGGCAATGTTTCTGTAAATGTTCTATGGTCTTCATATGAATATCATATGAATTTCACACTTCATTTTTGGAATTATCTACTAAACGTGGTTAGCACCTAGGTGCAAAAGTGCTTTTGTATATGAAAAGTGAGTGCCAAGCTTTTGGAGATATATATATATATATACACACACACACACACACACACACACACACACACATATACATACATACATACATACATATATATATATATATATATATATAATGTATTGGGTCTTCTGCTTCCAATCACAGGGTGGGCTCAGTATCTACAAATATGAACTTATGATGACAATTGCATTCACTGTGACAAAAATTCTTGTTAAATATCTATCTTTATACTTGTACTAATGCCCATCTAGATGCTAATTTATAATGATCCATGGATATGGTTTCTTGTAATCTCTTGTCATTTTGATTGTTTTCTTTTATGTGTTTTTCTTTTTCAAAATTGCAGGAACTTATGTATGTGTTTTTGATGTATTCATGCTTTGCAATGTGAATTTTCCTGTATTTTAAATAAAGAATTTATAAATCTAAAAAGCATGTATGGCTGTAATTCAAGAGAAAGTATTAAAAGTATTGTAGAATGTACCAAAAAGCATTGGTCCCAAACTAATAGTATATTGGAAAAGCTTTGGTTTATAATAGGTTAAAGGAACCTTAGCTCAGTTGCTTGGATTTAAACAGAAAGTGAAAGCTCAGAATGTCTTCCTGAAAACCTGTATGAACAACAAGATTAGAGGACTGATTTTTGCCAGCATTAATTATATATGTTTTAAGGTATGTAACATTTTATTTGTGCTAATGTATTATATTGGGATCGACTCACTTAAAGAGCAGTTACAGCAATTTAATTTTAGAATTAACTTTTTTATTACATATAGTTTAGTACAGCTCTGGGTGTGTCTGGAGACAGAAAGTACAAGCTGTGTTCATTTTGACCGTGTCTCACCGAAGCTAGCTGAAGTGAAATAATATATTTTGTTTAATAACAGGTATGTTATTTGTTATTATATATTAATTTAGGACTTATTTCATAAATAGCAAATTACTTGAGAACTGACTTGACATTATGGAAAACCCATCAAAAGACGCTGTTTAATGATTAGGACTCATTCACCGAATCTGGTTGGAGGCAAGTTTGCTAAATAAATGCATTACATTTATTTCAATACATCACACAGGCACAGCTATTCAATCTGGACTGTTAGCCGGCTGACCCAGTAGGCAAGTAGTCACTGTACATTTTTAAATTGAGGTCTGGACTTTAATAGCCCGATCCAAGCTTTTCTACATATGGATCTCCATTCCATGTGTTAGGTTACATTTGGACAGGCTGAATTCAAGTACATTTGGCTTTGCAAAATCAGGACATGGAGATGGGTTAATTGATAATTACGTTAATTGACAGGAGAAATTAAAAGCCATATTGGGTAGGGAGATGGTTAATTTTAGGCAGCAAGGGATATTTGTCAGGTGTATTTACCAGCTATGTAGTAATATGTAGTGTATGAGTATATTACAAAGCTCAGCAGCAATACACAGTGCATATCCCCACTGTAATGTTTATCTCATAATACAATATGCAGTGTGTTTTTGTGAGTTTTGTGGAGCCCCACCATGACAACCATAATATGATTTGGCAGTGCTCTTGAGAGCAAGCTGTGGATCCCCCCTTGAGACATGTGTTGCCCTGCAGTTATAAGACATTAACCTGCTTTTATTCAGGACTCTACTTCCTGTTGAGCGACATGAAAATGTAATGTGACTCTATATCAACTCTAGGTAAAATGGAATGCAAAAGTAAAAATAACTCAATTTGTTTTCTTCAAGTTAGGCTTTTCTTTACAGTTTTTCAGTATTAGTTAGACTCTTGTTAATTATTTATTGTGTGTGGTATTAAACTTAGTAGCGTGGTCCCATGCTCTTACATGTGACAAAAATAAATAAAAATTGCTCCACGTGTTAATTTGTCCTATATATCTGGCTATTTTTATCTTGTGAGGCAGAATCTATAATTTATATTAGACTTGTTTTAACATTTGCAAGAATTTACAATGGCACAATGCAGGGCATGAATGGAAGAGGGGATACGTGTATTCAATGCTTTGCTATGGGGAAAAATCTGATGCTTGAGCTCCTCATGCAGAGTTAACCTTCAGAGGTAAAGTACCTACGGATCCGATTGGCCGTAACCGGCCTTTGACCCCAGAACGTGAAGTCACACGCATGTTGATGTCGTTATTGCCCTGGGCGGACATGGGGCTATAAAATGGCGTGGATCCGCAGTGGCCGGCACCCACCAACATTTTGCATGAGTCAGGTATACTGGCTAATAGCTGCTGAGTGACAAAAGCTGAGGATGAATATGTTACAACACCAAAGTGTTAACAGAAAATATTTGTGCATCTGGAAAATAAACCAAAAGCATCAAGTGTGTCTATACCGGGAAGATATGCAACATTTATCCATAGCAAAAGGTAAATAATAGGATATACCTAGAAATATAAAAACGGAGAATGCCTCATAGGGTAATAGCGTTAAACATATAGAAATTGTTTGAATTAAAGGTGACACTCACAGAGTTGTAGATAATTCAGACTCATCAACAATATCTTTTATATTTCTAGGTATATCCTGTTATTTAATTGATATAGATAATGGAACCAGTGCTTGTATAAAAAAGAAAATATTAAATACAAATATAACTTATAATAGTGAATAGCTGCTAAACATTCAGAGATTCCTATTTGACTAAACACACAAAACAAATTAAGAATGTAGCGCTTATGTGTAAAGAAATTAATCACCTTTTAGAGTTTTTGGAGCAAAATTTCACTGGAAAATCGGCAGGAAAAATGTCTATAAAAGATAATCATACATAGTATAGATCACACTTATATACATTTATTATTAATAGGTAGTAAATAAACTCACAAACGGAGAGCTATAGACTCAGCTCTAGTTTGGATAGCCTCTGGGTCCATACAGGTGACCCACCCCTCCTCACGATGTGTTTCTGAGGTCTGTGGATGAATAGAAATACACCAAATTGCGCAGTATAGTTTATAATATCTGAGAAAATATATATGGTCTTTAAGTGGGTACTCACTCACTATTCGTCCACAGACCTCAGAAACACATCGTGAGGAGGGGTGGGTCACCTGTATGGACCCAGAGGCTATCCAAACTAGAGCTGAGTCTATAGCTCTCCGTTTGTGAGTTTATTTACTACCTATTAATAATAAATGTATATAAGTGTGATCTATACTATGTATGATTATCTTTTATAGACATTTTTCCTGCCGATTTTCCAGTGAAATTTTGCTCCAAAAACTCTAAAAGGTGATTAATTTCTTTACACATAAGCGCTACATTCTTAATTTGTTTTATATCCTGTTATTTACCTTTTTGTGCTTGAGGATTTAGAAGAATCCTTTGTTATACCTTGGGGGTTTTTTTTTTTTAAAAAAAGGGTAATTACCTCTTTGTATCAATTTGACTTTTACTGCAACCTGGGTGATCTATATTTCTTTTTTGAAACTTTGCATATTTACCCATAGCACCTTAGCAAAAACTGAAAAAACCTAATCAGCAACATTGTTTCTTACCTGACTTGTAACATTATTATTTTAAAGAGAAGCAGTGGTTAATTAGTAACTCAATCTCTCCCACTTATATCACCGTATGTCTTATCACTGCAACATTATCTCTATTTGAAGTATATGAAAACATAAAACATAAGGAAAAATCTCAGAATTCTAAAAAAGAAAATAAAAAAATACAATATACATTCAACTAAGTTAAATGCACTCGTATATGGTACACAGTGATTAAGAAGTTATTTTATTTTTTTAAAGGAAGCACAAAAGTGGGCTAATCTGACGTGTCCCGGAGGTGGTTCCAATGTGCCTCCTTGCACAATTATACATTGTCTCTATCCACCCCCTCTGGGATGAATTGGTATATGTATAATACCTATGAATTTCAAGGTCTTTCCTGTGACATATTAGCCCTTTAGTTTCTTTTTTTTGATGGGTTTCAATCTTTACTTCTATTTTTTGACATGTTATACAGTTGCAAGAAAAAGTATGTGAACCCTTTGGAATGATATGGATTTCTGCACAAATTGGTCATAAAATGTGATCTGATCATCATCTAAGTCACAACAATAGACAATCACAGTCTGTTTAAACTAATAACACACAAATAATGAAATGTTGCCATGTTTTTATTGAACACAGCATGTAAACATTCACAGTGCAGGTGGAAAAAGTATGTGAACCCTTGGATTTAATAACTGGTTGAACCTCCTTTGGCAGCAATAACTTCAACCAAACATTTCCTGTAGTTGCAGATCAGACGTGCACAACGGTCAGGAGTAATTCTTGACCATTCCTCTTTACAGAACTGTTTCAGTTCAGCAATATTCTTGGGATGTCTGGTGTGAATCGCTTTCTTGAGGTCATTCCACAGCATCTCAATCGGGTTGAGGTCAGGACTCTGACACTTCAGAAGGCCCTGACACAGCAAAGCAACCCCAAACCATGAT